CCTTATATACATCTCTATATATACCAATAGTTAACAATAAGCTGTCTTTACACACAGCCTCTAGTCTCCCTTATATACATCTCTATATATAACAATAGTTAACAATAAGCTTTCTTTACACACAGCCTGAGGTCTTCCTTATATACATCTCTATAAATACCAATTGTTAACAATAAGCTGTCTTTACACACCAAGTCTAGTCTTCCTTATATACATCTCTATATATACCAATAGTTAACAATAAGCTGTCTTTAAACACAGCCTCTAGTCTCCCTTATATTCATCTCTATAAATACCAATAGTTAACAATAAGCTGGGTTTACAAACAGCCTCTAGTCTTCCTTATACACATCTCTATATAATCTAATAGTTAACAATAAGCTGTCTTTACACACAGCCTCTAGTCTCCCTTATATACATCTCTATATATACCAATAGTTAACAATAAGCTGTCTTTACACACAGCCTCTAGTCTCCCTTATATACATCTCTATATATACCAATAGTTAACAATAAGCTTTCTTTACACACAGCCTCCATTACAACTACCTAAAATTTGTTCTCCAGATACAGAACAGACAGCTGGTAGAAGCCTGAAATTGTATACAAAGGATAAAAGTACACTTGACTGAATTTGTAAAATAAGGTTCAATTATAAATTTCTGTATAAACTAGTAAATAAAACTGACAACTAGTTGTCTAGCACACACCCTGTCACCAGGTCATTGACAAATCTGTATTATTTGTGATGACTAGTGAGCTAGCACTCCAATTTCGTATAAAAATAATTATGTATTTAAATACAATTATAGTTTGTACTACAGGAAGGGTGTGCTAACTCTGACATCATAACGTACCAGATGTAGGACAATATACACTTGTCACATGCTGTACTGTAATTATAACAGTCAGGGAAATCACTATATGCAAGTAAGAAGAAAATCAAGCAACAAAATAACAAATAAACTTACAATAAACTTTCCTAATCAATTGATCATCCTGGGCTTTTAGATACCAATAAACCAATAGCCAAAAATAATACTCTGCTAGCCTAGCTAACAGTTACATATAAATGGATCAGGTTGACAACATGATCTATAAATATCCTTTTCAGTAATGGCTATCAATTTTCCTTTAGAAAATACAACTTCAATTTATCATATTTACTCAGAAATCAATCTGGATATATAATAATAATAACAATAATTTGAGGTTCTTATATACCGCTTTATCACAACCTAGTTCTTAGGTCGTTTCAAAGCAGTCCACAAATTATTGTCTGTGGTTATATGGCCTTTGCAACTAGCCTATACCTTTCTCAACCCCCTGGGGAGCAACAGCCGGAGCTGCCATTTTGGCGCTTACAGCTAGCTAGCATTCAACATTTCTAGCATTGTTAAACCATGTACTCATTTACAGCTGAGTAGACTGGAACAAGCGGAGAAAAGTATCTTGCCGTGCCGTGACTCGAACCCGCAACCCATTGGTCACGAGCCTGGGGTCCTACCACTAGACTACCGTGCCTCGAGCTCCTCAATATATGTACTGACTCCACTATAATTAGTCATCATAACGAACATGGCGGACAGCATGATAATATTATCGACTTCTGAAGAGGTTATCTTTATTCTTGTACCCTCATGCCTATGTTAATTACAAATGAAATGATAAATTTTGCAAAAAAGAGGGCAATTTGGGTGATTAGTATTGACATCAAAGTAAGTAATGTTGAGGGCCGCTTGCACTTTTAAAACATATACATGAAAGCTACAGAATGCCTTGCGTCATCAATGCTGCATAAGTTACTCAGGGTGTTCTGATACTGTGGTAAAAACTACAGGCTAGATTCTTTTTATTTAGGGTTACCCTCAAAATGATAGAATTGAGCATAAATATCTGTGCCAGTTTATGTATCATCATAAACCAGTCACTAGCCCCAGCTAGTTCACCAAGCATCAGGCTAGTGGACACTAATATTGATATGTAGCGAAATGATTTAATTTAGCACTTTGATGAAACTGAAACTTAATCCTGTCATTCATGCTACTAAATAAATTTCTAGACTGCCGGCTGAAGGGGAGACACATGCTCCTTCAGACTCGAGTAGGTTGTATTGTCACAAAATTTGTATGTGTATACATCATCATTTCTGTCCTATGTTTAACTGACTGAATAAAAGCAGCTGTATGCATATGTAGGCCACACTTCCATCTGACTTTTGACAAGTACATAATGTCATGTGACTTTACAGGTATACACTGTCATGTGACTTTACCGGTATACACTATCATGCAACTTTACCGGTATGTATACTGCCATGTGACTTTACAGGTACACACTGTCCTGTGACTCTACAGGTATACACTGTCATGTGACTTTACAGGTATGTACTGGCATATGACTTTACAGGTATGAACTCTACTGTCATGTGATTTTACAGGTATGTACTGTGATGTGACTTTACATGTATGTACTGTGATGTGACTTTACAAGTACACACTGTCATGTGACTTTACAGGTACACACTGTAATGTGACTTTACATGTATGTACTGTCATGTGATTTTACAGGTACACACAGCTGTCATGTGACTTTACCGGTATATACTGTCATGTGTTTTTACATGTACACACTGTCATGTGATTTGACAGTTACACACAGGTGTCATGTGACTTTATAGGTATGTACCGTCATATGACTTTACAGGTACGTACTGTCATGTGATCTTACAGGTATGTACTGGCATATGACTTTACAGGTACACACTGTCATGGGACTTTATAGTGATATACTGCCATGTGACTTTAAAGGTAAATACTGTGATGTGACTTAACAAGTACACACTGTCACGTGACTTTACAGGTATATACTGCCATGTGACTTTAAAGGTATGTACTGTCACGTGATTTTACAGGTATATACTGCCATGTGACTTTAAAGGTATGTACTGTCAAGTGATTTTACAGGTACACACAGCTGTCATGTGACTTTATAGGTATATACTGCCATGTGACTTTAAAGGTATGTACTGTCACGTGATTTTACAGGTACACACAGTTGTCATGTGACTTTATAGGTATGTACCGTCATATGACTTTACATGTATTTACTGTCATGTGGCTTTACAGGTATGTACTATCATGTGACTTTATAGGTATGTACCGTCATATGACTTTACAGGTACTTACTGTCATATGACTTTACAGGTACGTACTGTCATGTGATCTTACAGGTATGTACTGTCGTGTGATTTTACAGGTATATACTGTCATGTGTTTTTACATGTACACACTGTCATGTGACTATACAGGTATTTACTGTCATGTTACTTTACATGTATGTGCTGTCATGTGATTTTACGGGTATGTACTGTCATGTGACTTAACAGGTACATACTGTCATGTGACTTTATAGGTATATACTGCCATGTGACTTTACAGGTAAATACTGTGATGTGACTTTACAAGTACACACTGTCATGTGACTTTACAGGTATGCACTTTCATGTGATTTTACAGGTATACACTGTCATGTGACTTTACGGGTACACGCTGTAATGTGACTTTACAAGTACACACTGTCATGTGACTTTACAGGTATGTACTGTGATGTGACTTTACAGGTACACACTGTCATGCGACTGTACAGGTATTTACTGTCATGTGACTTTACAGGTATGCACTTTCATGTGATTTTACAGGTATACACTGTCATGTGACTTTACAGGTACACACTGTCATGTGACTTTACAGGTATGTACTGTCATGTGATTTTACAGGTATGTACTGTCATGTGACTTTACATGTATGTACTGTGATGTGACTTTACAGGTACACACTGTCATGTGACTTTACAGGTACACATTTTCATGTGATTTTACAGGTATACACTGTCATGTGACTTTACAGGTACACGCTGTAATGTGACTTTACAAGTACACACTGTCATGTGATTTTACAGGTATACACTGTCATGTGACTTTACAGGTACACACTGTCATGTGACTTTACAGGTATGTACTGTGATGTGACTTTACAGGTACACACTGTCATGTGACTTTACAGGTACACACTGTCATGTGACTCTACAGGTACACACTGTCATTTGACTTTACAGGTATGTACTGTCATATGACTTTACAGGTATAAACTATCAAGTGTTTAGTGTACAACTTACCATTTATAGCTATATCTATGATCAGATTGTTGAATGCTTTAGCTAAGGTTTGTATATATACATATAACTTATATCTACGGGTGTACAAAGGTATGTCAAGGTTTCTGATTATATATAACAATGTTCAAATACTATACAGGAAATTGACACAGACATCTGCTTGACTTATTGTTTCTACTGTCTAAATGTAGTTTGAAATACACACATTATCTATCTTCCTTGTGAATTCGACCAGTTACCACAATCTTTATAACTGACTTTAAATGTTGATACTTATTAGGTTTTACTCAGGGTTTATTTATCAAATATATATAGAGGCCCTATGACTCTGCATTTCTCGCCTGGTATTAAGTAAAGTCACATTGTAACCTTAAAAGTGAATGAATTAAAAGGACTAAATTAAGCTACAGACAAATATCATTACATATGAATAATGGTCATTCATTTGTACAATCCTGATAGTCATGTATGTTGCTGTTTCTCTGACTCAGGTACCGGTGTTTGTATGACAAATTGACGTGTCTATACCACAGGGATGTGTTTATACCACAGGGATGTGTCTATACCACAGGGATGTGTCTATACCACATGGATGTGTCTAAACCACAGGGATGAGTCTAACGTATAGTAACAAAACAGGGGTGAGTATGACACATATGACTTTGACACAGGGGTCGGGTTCTACCATACAGTGTGACACAGGGGTCGGTTTCTACCATACAGTGTGACACAGGGGTCGGGTTCTACCATACAGTGTGACACAGGGGTCGGGTTCTACCATACAGTGCAACACAGGGGTCGGGTTCTACCATACAGTGCGACACAGGGGTCGGGTTCTACCATACAGTGCGACACAGGGATCGGGTTCTACCATACAGTGTGACACAGGGGTCGGGTTCTACCATACAGTGGTGAAGAATTCTTATAGTACTTACTCATAGGGTAATAACTGTCACAACCACTCTGAACACAACGCAGGGATTCCTGAAATGAAAAACAATGTCAACTTATAAAAAAAAAGCACATCAGTCTGGGATGTACCAAAATAACATTTAAGAAGAAATCCCATTCAGAAGACAGGTTAAAGACACTGTTGTTCATCAATAAAGATAGAGCTGGGAATTATGATCGATCATTAGTTACCATTTACTAACTGATCAATAGTTACCATTTACTAACTGATCATGGTGATTAATTAATAACCGCTTTAAAGAAAGTCATCGTGCAATCATCCATGCTGTTGTTAAGAATTGCTTGTGCAAACTAGAGAACGGACAGGTCAACAAGGGGCCTACCGCGTGTTTGACTGCATACAACCCTCAAATTCACTTAGCAAGGGGCCTACCACGTGTTTGACTACATATAACCCTCAAATTCACTCAGCAAGGGGCCTACCACGTGTTTGACGGCATATAACCCTCAAATTCACTTAGCAATGGGCCTACCGCGTGTTTGACTGCATATAACCCTAAAATTCGCTCAGCAAGGGGCCTACCACGTGTTTGCCTGCATATAACCCTCAAATTCACTTAGCAATGGGCCTACCGCGTGTTTGACTGCATATAACCCTCAAATTCACTTAGCAAGGGGCCTACCGCGTGTTTGACTGCATATAACCCTCAAATTCACTAAGCAGAACTTTGAGAAGCCACAGTGATCATTTTGAATTTCGAATTATTGGTAATAGGGCCGACAGCCATCTTGTTTTATGGGAACAGATTAAGTTTTTCAACCATGTTTATAAATTACTATTCACTAATAAGGACCATTTTCTACCTATTACGAACAAAATCATATCTATAAAATATCAGTATACATATATATACTTGTCAGCCCATCAGAAACAAAAGACGGTGACCACTTTGGACTTACGGATCTGGAAAATGTGGTAGCATTAATGTAGGCCTAGGATATATACTAACAAAACTACATGTATTTACCTTTGAACATTACTCAGGCCAGAGACTTGGGTAAATTGCACATCAGGAAAGTTCAATCAAAATCTGATCATTCCTTCATAAGATTATTGCAGAGAAAGCCATCCTTCAATGAGAACTCCGCAACCTCATTGAACAAGTTCAGAATTTGCCTATCATGAAACCCAACGAAGAGTTTTGGATAAGTAGTATACCAGGTTTGTTTTGTTAACATTCTGTCACAAAGTATTGCACAGAAAGCTATCAGCGACAATCGATTAATTTGAGCAGAATTTCCTGAACGTTGAACCCAAGTGACGGACAATCCGCATATCAGAATGCAGCAGCCTTATTTCATAGGTGTAAGAATTTGCAAAACATTGAAATACTTCCTTATGCCCTTTTCCTAGATAAACTTATTGGAAATCCAAGGTCACTAAATTCCTGGAAATAGTGACTATGATACATATATAACTTGATACACAATGCAAAAAGAAACATATTTTCTAGGAACCTCAAAGGACAACATTACAGAAAAAAGATTTTTACAACAACAAAGTACCAGAGGGTTGATGCCTGCATATAGCTTTGATTGCAAATAACTTAATATAATTAAAAGCTGCTTATTAAATGCTAATACTATAAACAGATAAAGTGTTGTTAGCTTAATAGGTGAATAAATAACCTTTCTAGCATGATGGGTGAATAAGTAAACTTGTTTGTTTTATGAGTGAATAATTATATGAGTAAACCTATTAGTTTATGGGTGAAAAAGCTTTATGGATGAATCAGTGAACTTTTTAGCTTGATGGGTGAAGAAGAAAACTAGTTAGCTTGATGGGTGAAGAAGAAAACTAGTTAGCTTGATGGGTAAATAAGTAAACTTGTTAGCTTGATGGGTGAAGAAGAAAACTTGTTAGCTTGTTGGGTGAATAAGTAAACTTGTTAGCTTGATGGGTGAATAAGTAAACTTGTTAGCTTGATGGGTGAATAAGTAAACTTGTTAGCTTGATGGGTTGATAAGTAAACTTGTTAGCTTGATGGGTGAATAAGTAAACTTGTTAGCTTGATGGGTGAATAAGTAAACTTGTTAGATTGTTGGTTGAACATGTACAGGTAGCATGTTAGCTTGATGGGTGAATAAGTAAACTTGTTAGATTGATGGTTGAACAGGTAGCATGTTAGTTTTATGGGTGAATTTTAAGTAAACTTGTTAGCTTTATAGGCTTGCGCTTTAGCCACAAAGGACAATCAAAAATTAAAATTTATGAATAATAATATCCAATATCTTGTAAAGCAAGTGATCCTCCAAATTTATTTTCGAAAGATAAATGGGACATCAGCATACTGTGACTAAAAGACAAGGATTTGTTCATGTCAACATCCGTCAAATTAATACGACATATTGTCTATAAACATATGTTCCTATAGGGAACGCAATAATTTTGACAAACTTTTAAGTCATTCTTTTCCAAGCTTTCGGGCTTAGCCCTTCGTCAGGGATTAAATGTCACTGGACCTCTATGTCACATCCATCTTGACAAACACTAGCTAATGTTATCTATGATATGATATGTTTGTCAAGATGGATGTGACATAGAGGTCCAGTGACATTTAATCCCTGACGAAGGGCTAAGCCTGTAAGCTTGGAAAAGAGTGACTTAAAAGTTTGTTAAAAAGACATATGTTGACATGAACAAGTCTATGTCCTTAAGTGCAGCATTTGCATTAACTTATGTTGACATGAACAAGTCCATGTCGACCTTAAGTGCAGCATTTGCATTAACTTATGTTGACATGAACAATTCCATGTCGACCTTAAGTGCGGCATTTGCATTAACTTATGTAGACATGAACAAGTCCATGTACTTAAGTGCAGCATTTGCATTACCTTATGTTGACATGAACAAGGCCATGTCCTTAAGTGCAGCATTGGCATTAACTTATGTTGACATGGACAAGTCCATGTCCGTAAGAGCAGCATTTGCATTAACTTATGTTGACATGAACAAGTCCATGTCCGTAAGAGCAGCATTTGCATTAACTTAACATAGATGCATTAACTATTTTTTTAGTGAAATAGGACAGAACATTACAGAAAATCTTTCTCCTCTGAGTCAGTATCAGCCTTTGTCAAATATACAACTTCACAAGTTGGATGAGTGAACATTAATAAATTACTGCTAAATTATAGCAACAAGATATATATATATATAAAAGTGTCTGCTATATTTCATGACATAATATTAAAAGTGAATAGGTGTTGATTAAACTTTGCATAAATTTATATGCTTTTAGGGGTATTTTTTGTGTTTTCACTCCCTTTGAAAACATTAGTTTTCACGACTCCAATTTGAAAAGTAGCTATAGGAGTAAGTTCTCTTACAAAACAAAAGTTACCTGGAGCACTGACTACCATCATCATTCTATAGTTAGTGGTCCTTTTGCTTTAAATATGTTGCAACATGGAAATCGGTAAATTTAATAGGTGTAATGTTCCAATACAGGAAAAAAACAGCTTGTATACCTTTATTACAATATTTCATTTTCATAATTTTTTGTTTGTCTACAACTTACGCTATTCCTTCTATAAGGTAACTCAAATACTCAGTACATTTAACAGAGATGAAACATGGTTCCCAGGGATTACCCATCCCCTCTGTTTACTCACTGTAAATTACTCTCCCCGGGCTAGTAAGGGTAGACACTTATATAATTATACAACAATGCTTGTTGTTTACATACAGATACAGAAAGTTACGGCAATACACTTACCTTGGTTTTTCCTGTTAGCACTAGTTTGACCTTTTCCTCCAGGCACATGCCACAGGTCACATGACCTTGCAGGCATCGTGACGACTTGAGACCCATGAGAGAAACTTGACAATAAGAACATTTCTCCCAGCCAATGCACGAGTTTTGCGACTTTGGTGAGGTAACAGGTTTTGTAGGTCCGCCCTTGCGAAGTGAGGGACAGCTAAACTGCCTCATACAGCGCTGCTGCTTCTTTGGGGGCAGCTGCTTGTTTAAAGAGTTATTGTAAGCAAGGTCGTCCACTGACATACTAGTGGATGGAGAAGTATCAGACTTTGGTGTGGAGGACACATGTATATGACTGGTATTGACCTTGTCCTTGACATGACCTTGACTCAAACGGATATTGGAGTCTGTTGAGGCAGAAGAGTTCAGTATTGATGAGATTGAGAAGTTGTTTGATGATTGTGCAGGTGTGTTCATACACTTGGAGGGTGGATGTGTAGGATCAAGAATCTTTGAGATACTGAGCGTGCCTGGCCCAGTTCCCCCCGGGTAAGGGAGCGAACTCTGTGCTGATGGACACGAAGGTGTGTCATTTAAAAAGTCCAAGTCCTTTTTAAGAGAGTCCCAAATATCCCCCGAGGACATCTCCTCGTCCTTGCTCACACCTTTGGACGTGGACTGGAGATCCTTTGGCCGGGCCAGCACTGGAGCCCCCTTGGGTATCATTCCATCCTTGGTTTTTGCTCCAACATGTATAAAAGGTTCCATTTTATCAGTTTTATAATGAGGTATATGTGGTTTTATGTCCAAGTCTGCTACATGTGGTGAGGGTACAGACAGAACACATCCCTGCCCAGCTGTAGGGGGGCTGGTATCCGAGGAACTGACCACCGCCATGGTTACATCAGAGCTGTCCAAGACATCTATTGGGGAGACACCATTACTAGTAAGACTGCTGTCCTGTAGAGGCTGCATCAGGTTGTCCCCATTACCACCACTGTTCAGCCTACAGCCAATGTCTCCCCTATCAACACCCTTACTGCTACCAGATACTAGGCTTTGTATCACGTCGCTATCATCGTCCATGTCATCAATTGCACTACTGTCGTCATCATCAGAATCATCACTTGCCTCACTAATGTCACTGAAATCACTCGGCCCTTTTTTAGACGACAGGTCTAGAGGTGAGTTGAGGTCACGATCCTCTATTGTCAAGGTCATATCCAGGGAACTGGATATGCTCATGTTACGACTAGGTACCGAGGGTATAACATGGCCACATCCTGTGTGCTGTTCGTCACACTTAGGAGTGACCAGTGTTGTCGTGGATTGTGATACAAATATCACGTCCAAATCTTCATTTTTTTCCTCGTGAATGAACTCCACATCACTATCATCTTCATCTTCTGTAAAAACAAATAGGAGAGAATTACACATGAATAAAAAGAGTAGACAGTGTTAATGTTAATGTACAGTTGTGACCTGCCTCACCTATATGGTTGGTGCCTCACCTATATGGTTGGTGCCTCACCTATATGGTTGGTGCCTCACCTATATGGTTGGTGCCACATCTATATGGTTGGTGCCTCACCTATATGGTTGGTACCACATCTATATGGTTGGTGCCACAACTATATGGTTGGTACCTCACCTATATGGTTGGTGCCACATCTATATGGTTGGTGCCTCATCTATATGGTTGGTGCTATATGGTTGGTGCCTCAACTATATGGTTGGTACCTCACCCATATGGTTTGTGCCACACCTATATGGTTGGTGCCTCAACTATATGGTTGGTACCTCACCTATATGGTTGGTGCCACATCTATATGGTTGGTGCCACATCTATATGGTTGGTGCTATATGGTTGGTGCCTCAACTATATGGTTGGTACCTCACCTATATGGTTAGTGCCACACCTATATGGTCGGTGCATCACCTATATGGTTGGTGCCTCACCTATATGGTTGGTGCCTCACCTATATGGTTGGTGCATCACCTATATGGTTGGTGCTATATGGTTGGTGCATCACCTATATGGTTGGTGCCATACCTATATGGTTGGTGCCGCACCTATATGGTTGGTGCCACACCTATATGGTCGGTGCCACACCTAAATGGTTGATGCCACCTTATATGGTCGTGCCACACCTATATGGTTGGTGCCTCACCTATATGGTCGGTGCCTCACCTATATGGTTGGTTCCACACCTATATGGTTGGTGCCACACCTATATAGTTGGTGCCACACCTATATGGTCGGTGCCACACCTAAATGGTTGGTTCCACACCTATATGGTTGGTGCCACACCTATATAGTTGGTGCCACACCTATATGGTCGGTGCCACACCTAAATGGTTGATGCCACCTTATATGGTCGTGCCACACCTATATGGTTGGTGCCTCACCTATATGGTCGGTGCCTCACTTATATGGTCGCTGCATAACCTATATGGTCGCTGCCTCACCTATATGGTTGGTGCCACACCTATATGGTTGGTGCCTCACTCATAGGGTTGGTGCTATATGGTCTGTGCCTCACCTATATGGTTGGTGTCTCACCTATATGGTCGCTGCCTCACCTATATGGTCGGTGCCACACCTATATGGTTGGTTCCACACCTATATGGTTGGTGCCACACCTATATAGTTGGTGCCACACCTATATGGTCGGTGCCACACCTATATAGTTGGTGCCACACCTATATGGTCGGTGCCACACCTAAATGGTTGGTGCCACACCTATATGGTTGGTGCCTCCCCTATATGGTCGCTGCCTCACCTATATGGTCGGTGCCACACCTATATGGTTGGTGCCTCACTTATATGGTTGGTGCTATATGGTCTGTGCCTCACCTATATGGTTGGTGCCACACCTATATGGTCGGTGCCACACCTATATGGTTGGTGCCACACCTATATGGTTGGTGCCTCACCTAGATGGTTGGTGCTATATGGTTGGTACCTCACCTATATGGTCTGTGCTTCACCTATATGGTCGCTGCCTCACCTATATGGTCGCTGCCTCACCTATATGGTCGGTGCCACACCTATATAGTTGGTGCCACACCTATATGGTTGGGGCCTCACTTATATGGTTGGTGCTATACGGTCTGTGCCTCACCTATATGGTTGGTGCCCCACCTATATGGTCGGTGCCACACCTATATAGTTGGTGCCACACCTATATGGTTGGTGCCTCACTTATATGGTTGGTGCTATATGGTTGGTACCTCACCTATATGGTCTGTGCCTCACCTATATGGTCGCTGCCTCACCTATATGGTTGGTGTCTCACATATATGGTCTGTGCCACACCTATATGGTTGGTGCCTCACTTATATGGTTGGTGCTATATGGTCTGTGCCTCACCTATATGGTTGGTGCCTCACCTATATGGATGGTATTAATCCAGGTTTGAAGTGGTGTTTTCCATGTACAGTGACCCACATGTGTTGTTCTCGTCCTTTTACATAAATGAGCAGGAGTACGGGTAATGACCCCTTTTGAAATGATCTATATATATATATTACTATGATTACTATGGTAACTAGGGTACTGCCATAAACAAAGTAGTTAATACCAACCACAAGTATAGTTAATTCAGCTTTAATTGAACAGAAGCCATAAAAAAATACACAACCAGGCTAAAATATGACCTGTGACCTACGATCTCAAAATAGACACTCAAACCAAATGATCTACCATGGCGTGCTCATGCACTGACCTTCTATGCAAACCCCTACTTATATAATTAGCCACATTATTAGAGTGCATATAGTTTGGTACCTACACATGAATGACTTTGTTCACACTGGCACCTACATACTTTGGAATGATAGAAAAATACTCTTTCAGGCCAAAGGGTGTAGGAAAGGGAAATTACACCATCAGAATTTTCAAATTTGGCAAAACCCTTGGGTGGAATTCCCCTATCTTACACCCCTGGGCATGAAAGAGTCTTATACTCTTACCCTAGACAGGTGGATTCACACTTTTTCTCGAGGGTTGAGATTCCCCTATTTCATCCCAAAGGGGGTGAATGATTCTTTTTCTCATACCCTGTTCTCCCATTGTGTATAATAAACATAATGTAATGTCAATGTTACAATATCGATGTGACGTCATACAATTGTTATGAATAGGGGAATCCCCCCCCCCCTCCCCCCGTCTCAACCCTAGGGTAAGACTAATAGAATCCATCCCTGATATGAGGTATGGATAAGGTATTTCAAACCCAAGGGATAAAATATTAAGCAGGAGACCTGAGGCTTTGCCGAGGGTCTTTTGCTCAATAGTTTATCCCGAGGGTTTGAATAACCTTATCCTTACCTCACATCAGAGAGGACGGATTCTATTTCTTGATTATTACCTAAAACCCATAAAAACAGCTGCTCTTCTAGTGAAATTGTGAACTGTCCACACATTTCTCATTTGCATATGCAGCACGGCTGACAATTGTTAATGACGTCAATGACCCTGACTGACCCAAAACGCCATAAAATGACGTCACGAACAATAGCGTGACCCTGAAAGGTCACTATAATTCCCCCGCCAGTTTATGCGTGTAAACGATCTAGACCTGTGGGTTGGATATAATTGGATATATCGGTCTAGTATATATGCACGAAAAGGATATCTCACCCTAGGGTTCAGAAGGGGGGATTCACGATCCCCTATTTAAATAAAAATTGTATGACATCATGACAACAATACAATGACATCACAGCAACAATTTGCATCAACGACATTCAACCCTGCATCTAGCATGTAATGCTAACATTAAATTATGTATTTGATACACAATGGGTGAACAAGTTAAAAGAAAAAAAAATATCATTCACGCCCTCAGGGTGAGATAGGAGAATCTCAACCCTCGATGAAAGATTGTTAATTAAGTTGCCAAACACTCACCAAAACCTATTAATCTCATAAGTTTCCACTTTTTACTACATCATTAGGACTCCATTATTTTAGTGACACATGTTTTCATTGACACACAGGTGACAGATCTATGATTTAGTCCATGTTACCTGTGGTCTTCAACATCTGACAATTAATACAAATACTTATAATTTCATTGACAAAGTCAGGTGTGATTATGACCTTATAAGTGTTTTCTTATTTTTAGTATCGAGATAAGATTTTCTGAAAAGAAATGAATGACTTCTATGGTCTAAACTTGTCGTTTCAGAATTCAGAGAATGATAAACGAGTAAATAATTAATGACTATTGGTTTCATTTTCAATTTTATCGCAAGTAAAATGAGGTCCAGCATGTATAAAATGGTTCATTTACAGTTGTTTTCATGATATAACTGCAGCTGAGTTTGCGATGGGTCTAACAAGAGATATTTGGGATGGTATTACTTAATATTTAAGACAGCTGAGTCAGGGACGACTCGACCTGAAACACCCTCGACACATAAACACACAGCCAACAACAAAGTTTACCTACGAGTTACCGCCCAATATTACATTTTACGGAACCTACCATCAGAGTTTATAAGAATTGGTGTATCGGGTGAGGAATTCATCGTGTCCCCAACACTTGATTCCGTCCCGTCTACACCCTAAACGCTGTCAAAAATCCCCAATCTTCGTCAGATTCATTCTGCCATTTTCTCTACATCGAGCTGGTACAAAACAGGAAGTGATCGTACGCCGTCACGTGATCACAATGAGAGTTCGCAGAACTTTGCTTTAGCAAGCAGTTGAACAAAATCTTCCATGTAAGAGCTGACCACACAACGATGTACTAACAATATATTTCGGGACAAATCATCCATTTTATATAATTAATTAACATTTACAACCAGTTAGCATTATATACACATCTGATCTGCGTATTTTTTTCCAGGAATGTAGGCCAAGTTTCCTGCAGTGTCGGGGGTCGGATAAGTTCAGTCACGAATTCGAATAAGCCAAGTATCGACGTTCAGTGTCATACATTCACGTCGAAATAGCAGTGTTTTTGGTTTCTTTTTTTTAACGAAATACATTTATTCAACCTATGAGACTATACCCTTAAACATGTTTAAAGATACACCTGGTAGAGGCATGATTATGTACATTCACAGCTCCCTGAAATATCTACCATGCAATAGGCTATAGGTGAGGCATTTCATGAGAGTTTATTTTGCGAAATAAAACTAGGAACAACAGACACTCTATTTATAGGAAGCATATCAGTACAGAAGCCCAAATAGCACAACAGAAAACTTTCTGGCCTTGTGCAACACAATTATAGATCCATGCAAACGAAACGAAACACGCATGCTACTTGTGTTAAATGGTCACCCTTATACAAAAAGTACATTTTAGCTATAGAGCAAGTACAACGTCGCGCTTTCAAAATGGTAACTGGACTTCGCGATACACCATACGAAAACCGCCTGAAGATCCTGGGTCTACCAACACTACTTTACAGACGTGATCGAGCCGATGTGATCCAACTATTTAAGATAATGCACGGCTATGAGGAGGTTAGCTTGGACAATATAAAAATATCAGAGAATTCAATTACTCGTGGACATTCACTCAAACTTGGAAAAGTGTTCTCTGGATCAAACAGCAGTCAAAATCGCTTTTCAAATAGGGTAGTAAATAAGTGGAACTCCTTATCAGAGGCAACAGTTACAGCGAGCTCTATGAACATATTTAAGAGTAACCTGAACACTGACTGGAAAGAGAGAGACAATGACAACAAATTCAATGTGTGAATTAAGAGATGTGACTCTACAGTGAGACTTTTTTTTTAAACATAACCACCTACCGCTAGCGCAGCAAAAACATTAAAGAATTGATGTAAAAGATTTCAAATGGGCCAATACGAGCTTTAAGCTCATTTCCCGGCCATCCGGATCAAGGTAAATCAAGGTAAATCATACAATTTACCAGGTATAGGGAAAGCAACACCACGAAAGGGGGAGTAGACAGTCCATCAGTCGTCCCTGATGGCAACATACAGTCCCTGTCACATCTCGTGTCCCCCAGGGTACTTTCCTAGGTCCCATACTATTCCTAATCTATATTAATGATTTGGCATAATACATGAAACACAGTATCCTACGTCTATTTGCTGATGATAGTATCATTTATCGAGATATCAAAAATACCAGCGATGTTGAAAAACTCCAAATTCGACCTCGATGCTGCGGCAGCCTGGGAAATGGACTGGCTGATGTTGTTCCACCCCGCTAAGTGCTCGGATCTCCAGGTCTCTGATCAGTCAAACCCACACTCAAACTACAAACTACATGGCCACACACTACAAACAACAAATTCTGTAAAGTACCTTGGAGTCACAATCCAATCGAACCTCAAATGGGACAACCACATAAATTCTATGACCTCCACAGCAAATCAGTCACTAGGTTTTCTGCGCCGCAACCTAAAAGTAAATTCTCAGAACATCAAAGACCATTTCTAAACATTTTCTTCAGCCGAGCCAAAATCGACATCGATTTTATGGACAATTCGTACACATTTTACACCTTTGTGTGCATACGCTTCACTGGTCATTTGTCCGATGAAGGTGACAGTGTACATATCGTACTAGTCATCGAAACGTCACATAAAACATTTTATTGGTTGTGTAAAAAGAACTTCTCATCATCAAAGACCATGCTTACAAAACCCTGGAACATGTACGTCCCAAACTAGAGTACAGTTTCTCAGTTTGGGACCCACACAACTTCTCTCAAATTAACCAGATTGACAAAGTACAGCGTCGAGCAGCCAGATATATTTGTAACAACTACCACAACACTATAGCTCTGCTACTGCCATGATGAACACTCTCAACTGGCCACCCTACATCTACGCCGTCTCCAATTCAGTCTTATCATGTTTTACAAAAATGTTCATTACCATGTCGCTCTCAAACCAGGAAATTGTATCACACATGTCGACCCCCGCAATCGTTCAAGTCATCATAACCCTCATGCCTTCAAACGTCTAAAGACTGCTACAAATACTCCTTCTACCCCAGAACTATAACTCAATGGAATCTACTCCCTCCTGATCAGTCTTTCGTTTCTGTCGACACTGTTGATGCCTTCAAATCTACCATCACAGTGTCCTTTCTCGCGCAACTTTAAGTCACTTCATTGTTTTTATCATAAATCATAATAAAAATAAAAAAAATAAAAATGTTTCACTTTTAACCTTTTAACCAACGCCTAGTGATAAATCATCAGCATTGATGGCTCACTAGTATTCAGAAGAAGAAGATAGCCTGGAGTTCAAGTTCGTGGAAACCATTCGAGACTGCTTTCTCCATCAACACATCAGAAGTCCGACAAGAGCACGTGATCAGGATAAAACCAAATGTACTGGATCTTGTCTTCTCGAACGACGAAGGGATGGTCAGTGAAATTGAAATTCAAGCTCCAATAGATAAGAGTAACCACTCTGTCATACAATTTATAATGAATGTCTATTCAACTACAGAAAAGACGAGATATATGTACGAACAAGGTTACCGCGAGCGGTATATAATACGCCCGTCACACATTGAATGAGTAGTTGTTTGTATGATTGAAATATATGAAGTATTTGTGAGTAATTGATATTAAAAGAGAAATCATTCAACATAACTGGTAGATCAATGAGTGCAATACAACATCATGGAACGCATGCATCGCATTAATGAAACCAAGGGAAATAACTCCACAAGTTATGGTCGGATCATGGCGGTTATCGAGCTTGTCCGAGCTTTCAAGGTAATTAACCTTGTTGTGAAGTTTGAAGTTAATCCGTTAATAATTACTCGAGATATCGAGCGGACACTGTTTCGGCAAGTCCATAAAGGGGCATAACTCCACAAATTATAGTCGGATAATAGCGGTTATCGAACTTGTCCGAGGTTTCATGGTAATTAACCTTGTTGTGAAGTTGTGGGTACGGTTCTAGCCCCGACTCTAGGGACCTAGTGACGGACATACCCGTGCTACCGGGATTGGGTACGGTTAGCCCCGACTCCAGGGACCTAGTAACGGACGTACCCGTGCTACCGGGATTGGGTACGGTTCTAGCCCCGACTCTAGGGACCTAGTAACGGACATACCCGTGCTACCGGGATTGGGTACGGTTCTAGCCCCGACTCCAGGGACCTAGTAACGGACATACCCGTGCTACCGGGATTGGGTACGGTTCTAGCCCCGACTCTAGGGACTTAGTGCCCGAGTCAAAGTAGCAAGGAAGCGATCGAGATTTCTTCCTTATAACCATATATAAAAGTACTAGGCATGAATAGACGAACACATACATGCTATCAGGAAGTGTACCGGCGTCTGGTCCGGCACGCTCCGCCCCGTTGTTTTGGACTTAGTTCGAAGAAAGTTAAGACCTCCACACTTTCACCACAAAACTAATTGATAGTCAAGTAGAAGCGACCACATGTGTGTTACCAGGAGTTATGCTTCAATGGTGTCATATCGGTTACTTAAATTGATACTTAGTCCTAAAATTGACTTCCCCATCCTATAACCATTTAACCCAATCCCGGTAGCACGGGTACGTCCGTTTACTCATCCCTAGCAATTGCTATCGTGTTAAAGGGCGTGGTCACAACCGTTGTCGTATTATGACCCATTGATTTAGTCCACAGTGACAGGGGTCGGAACCGAAGCCAATCCTGTTAGCATGATTATGTTCGTATCTTAATCCATGGCAATTGTATTTGTGATTATGTGAGGGGATATCGACTGTATCCATGCTACCTTATTTGTCAACATGTCTTGTCTATGTGTTAAAACTGATAAATTCATACGTCTGTCAACGATTGTATCGCAGGAAAATATAATTTAGGAAATTAGATTATTCAGTGTTCCGAGGTCTGCTCTGTAAAAGAGGCTAATTTCAGGCTTGTATTTGGGGTTAAAATTACAAGGGATTATGTATCATGTGCAATACAACTGTCATGCTTTCTAAAGGATTGGTCTACCCGTATGACTGAGGAGAAGTCATGTGGTGAAATAGAATGAAGTAAAGAAACTCAGTTAATTCCCGCACGAGTGAGCTCGTGGGTATAACGATGGACAACCTTAACAACGACATAATACAGAGTAAACCATTTTTATGTAAGACGTAAAAAACCCCGACAAAATTACTCACAGGCGTTTAACAGTACATAGGAACGTGTACTATAGTCGTTCTAGAGACACACAAGCGTTTTACAGTACATGGGAACGAGTATTATAGTCGTTCTAGAGACACACAAGCGTTTTACAGTACATCGGAACGTGTATTATAGTCGTTCTAGAGACACACAAGCGTTTTACAGTACATCGGAACGTGTATTATAGTCGTTCTAGAGACACACAAGCGTTTTACAGTACATCGGAACGTGTATTATAGTCGTTCTAAAGACACACAAACATATACAATGTATAGGTAAGGCATTAACTCCACACAATAGACTTCTCACGTAAGTCATTGTTATTTTTACAGGACTGTTTATGAGAAGTGATCTTAAGTCTGCCCAGCGTCAGTGCTACTGTCGTACAAAACCAATAGCAAGGTAAAAGTAAAGAATACAGACAGATGAGTTTAAGTCCCCTTCATGAATGTGTAAAGAATACAGGCAGATGAGTTTAAACCCCCTCA